TCTTATAATCATTACAAATGAATTTTTTCCCCCTCTTTTTGTTATATATTATAATATTTGTACTTTTAGTTGCTTTGTTGCCTTCAGATCACAAATCTAATGTTTCTGTTCACTAATGATAGGTTTATTGATTGTCATAATTCTTAACATTATTAGTAAAGTCATTAGCAATAAGTATTTAAAAATCTGAAGGATGCATATTAAAAATACTATATACTTTTTAACATGGGGTTTTTAATGTATAATAAAGAATGATATTCTATTTTTACACGTTAAGATTGTGTTATGTAATTTGCAGATAATTTTTAACATTTTATAAATTAAAGAAAATATTAAAATATAAAATAGATGGTGAAAAATAATTGATAGATTTGATTTTATTATTTACAATTATATATAGTTTTGAGTTCTCACAAATTATTTATTAATTGTTAAAAGAGACTTTGGCATAATGAAGAATTATAATGTTTGCATTAATTTTTTAGTTTATAAAGCTTGAAAACAATACAATAATTGTGATATTCAAAAATGAATGAATAACCAAGAATTATGATAATTAACAAAAATTGTAAAAAAGTTTCAAATGCACAAAGGTTGCATAACTGATCACATACATATAAACAAATATAAGATATATACAGCTAATTATTAATTGACTGATAACAAAAGCTTCATACTTTATATGCAGAGATTGAAAATGGAGGGAAACTTTATACATACATACATACATACATACATACATACATACATACATACATACATACATACATACACACATTATTTATGTATGTTTTCTTCCATCACACACACACATATATATATATAGAAAGAGATGACAGAGAGAATAAACACTTCCAGAAAACCTGAAATTCTCAGAGAATTTTATTTTTGAGTTTGAGTTGTTAACCAAAATAAACAATATTAGAACAATCAGTTTTTTTTTTTTGGTTACAGATATTGACTGATATATTCAACAGCTATAACCTTTAGTAAACTAAAAGTATTATGTATTGTACTGCAGTTTTTAATTAATAAATACTTTTATAAAACATGGGACTAATTTCCCTAAATTTAACCTATTTTTCTGCAATTTGTTACTAAAAACAGAGAAAATTAAACTTAAAACAAATTTCTTCAGTTAAAAATTTAAGCAGAATTTTAAGTGATCATGAAATTTTATTTTCTAA